CAATATTGGTAATTTGAGTTCCTAATTCGTACAAAACTAAATAATTTGTATTTTGACATCACAAACATCTAATTTGAACCAGTGTTGCATTCAACATGACATGACACACAAAAATCAAAGTTTAGGTGTGAATTTTTAATGTTTTCCTTTAAATTAAGAAATTAAATAATGTATAATCCTAAAATTTGAATTATAATCTACAGTTTGATAGCAAACTTAATGACATAAGTACATAAAATAATAGTTCAATGACATGGCCTTTGACCTGTGTGGAAAGGGTTAAACCAAACACACACAGGGAAAATGTAGAAACACAGCTTGTAGATTTGTTTTAATGAATAATATAATATAAATACCAGTTAAAAAAGTATATCATAGATATATTAACTACTAATTGCTTATGTAATGCAATAATGAAAATAAATCATCATTATACCTCAAGATCCCAGTTGTGAGTTTGCAAAATTTCTCTGCATCTGTCCATTTCTTCTATTCCAGTCAAATCCTGGAAAAATATCAGTGATATTTATATAAATAAAATAATGAGTACAAGAATTCAACATAATTTGAAATATACATAATTTGGCATTTATGCAAGCATAGAATAAATACATATGTCTATAATGCTTTATATGATTATATCTAGCATCATTTAGTGTGATTAACAAGGAGCCAAATTAATAATTTGTATTATTTTTGTAAAATTACACACTTTTATTTCTGCTTGAAATGTGACATTTTTTTCTAGAAACAACAACAAAAAACAGAGAAAATAAGTGTAAAACTTAAACAAGGTGTCACTCTAGTAGCCCTTCTCTTCATTCATTCCAACATATTGAGGTTGCTTTTACAGTAAGAAGGCCAAAACTGCATATACAGTATAATAGACTGAAACTTGTGAAAACCAATCTGCTCTGAGTGGAGCTTGAACCCAGTACCCTTGACTCATATAATTTTTTGAAACCGATGCACTAACTAATTGATCTACCAGGGTTTCAAGAGCAAATAACATCATTTAGCTCATTACAAATTTCCCCCACAAATTTCAAAGGAGGTTCTCACTCTGAGTAACCCCCATCAACAACAATGTTTATCCACCAAACTGTTTAAATTCAACACCAGTATATGTGTAACTTATTAAATGTAGCATGCCCATTTATGTAGATCTGTATAAAATAAGTGTAGATTTGTGTCAGGATGTACAAAAGTGAATACCCCCTACACACAAAAATTAGACTTTCTTCCAATATTTTCAGATTGAATTAGTTCAAAATATAAAAATGACATATTGAGACCGATCATAAAAAAAATTATCATGATTACACACGAAATAGAAATTGTCAAACTGCATTTGGTTCCTGTTATCTACAATATCAATTGTTGCTTTTAAATTATCTGCAATAATATGTGCAGAAAAAGGATGTCTCTACCACCCGCACATTTGCTTAATTCTTTCCAGCCAAAAAAAGTTACTTAGTCAACATTAAAATTCTCATAAGAAATAAAAATGAATTCTATTTCAACAATTTATTTACTCAATTTTTTTTATAAATTGGTTATGTTAACAAGATGAAATATCAACATCATGAATAAAAAACTTTAAAAAATGTTTAAACTTGCATTTCTGTTATATATCTAGGTGTGTGAATTGCAAACATCACAGTTCTAGATTTATAAATTTTATTTTTTTTTGTTTTTTCCTGAGCTTATGTTTCCCAATCAAATTTCAGCATTTTCTGTTAGCTTGATGTTTATCTTATATGACTATGCCTTTTATTTGATCAGAAAGAGATTCTGACTGACCTTTAATGCTCATTGGTCAAGAATATAATAGTGTTCTGTGAAAATTAGTCAAACATTTGAAAGTTATAATTTTCTTATAATGAAAATGTATTTCCAACAGGTACTTCCCTCTGCTATTAGCTATTCTTGTTTACTGCTGCCATCTATATGCAAACTTGTATATTATGCATGCCACAAGCCTTCTACACCTCCCTATTGGAATCAAATGATTCCAATGTGTCTCTCATGCAAATCATCATGCATCACCTATCCACCAGTAGAAGCATAGTACACTCACGTGACGTATGTGACTTCCTCTATGCGCCTCTATCGAACTATCACTTCAAAGTTTGGCAGATGACAGAAGCACTGGAAGTGAGTGGGGAGGAAGGGTGGAAAGTGTGAGCGGAGGGAAGTTCCTATTGGAAATACATTTTCAGTATAGGAAAATGATAACTTCTGATATGGTACTTCCCTCTACTAGAATTAGCTAGAATCCCACATTGACTAGAAGGAGAGACTGGTGGGAGTAAATAACAGACGTACCCCTCAAAAGCATCTGAAGGATACCCCTGTAGATGAGACAATCAGATCTGGAGATGGAAACCACACCATTTCTGATCCAAGTATACCCTTTGCCCAGTTGAGGAATGTGTAAAAATCGAGGCAGAAAAGGAGAGAAGCACATCATAGTGGGAAGAAAGCAGTAGGAAAGTGATCCTAACCTGAGAAAGATATAGTAACTTAATCCCACAAAAAGAAAGTGGGTAAATGAGGATGCCACCCATTGTGTAGAATGGCTAGGATGCAATGGACCATACTCAGCAAATCAACTACATCCAAAACCTCCACGCAGGGTAACAACATCCACGTGATAGTAGAATGAGGATCATACCGTCTTCACCTCAAACCCAAGAATTGGGGAATTCAGAACTACTCTGATTCCTGGGTATTAAACGGGATGAGCTCTGAGCTATCAATCCAGGAACGTGACGTCCGGGTATCAAAAGGAAGTTTATCACATGTAATCAATTTCTGTGACCGTGAAAAAGGTGGGGACCATTCAAAGGGCAATAACCTCCACGTAATAAGAGATTATGAGGAAGAGCCAAGGACAGAACCGGAATTGCCCCACGTATCTCAACTGACTCACAACACAGAAGGAGGAATTAAGGGAGGAAGAGAGACAATCCAAAACCTGTGTGAGGACTTATGTTGATTGGTTCAATCAATATCTGAAACCAGCCCGTGGGGTACCGACATCCATGAGAATGCAAGAAGAGGGCTCCCAATTGAATAGGTGAACTGCATTTTCATGTCTCACTCCATTGTATGTTTAATTGCAAATTGGAGGATATTATGTCATCTATACAAGCAGAACACCACCACCCTACTCTAAACTGAATGGTTATAGCCATCCCATGTGTAGCCCATCCAGCAGGGTGCCTCCATGGTCAACCACCCCATTGGCTTGGAACTGGTAAGTGGTAAGTAGTCCCATACTCCACTAAATGAAATTAGGGTGAGAATGCATTGGAGAGCCCAGATGAATGTTGACACCCAAGACAGTGCAATGGGTGATCATGAAACCCTATTCTGAAAAGCAGACCATACCAATTTATTGAATCAAGGCATGGCAGGGATGAGGAGCTATCCTCTTCTGCTTTATCCATGAAGTCCATGGGTGGAAGGTCCGGGATGGGCCAATTTATTAAGCAAATATCACAATGTTATTCACCTACAAGCGATCTTGTGAAACATCCCATCTCACAGATGAGCATGTGGGATCATGGAAAGAAAGCACTATAAATGATTAATCAAGACTTAGCCAGTGTCAGAGTCACACCAAAGATTGGAGTATAACTACAGGTGGAAGGCAAAAACCTGAGGAAGCTGAAACTGCAATATGATGTAAATAAGGGAAGATGAACATGTTAGGGTTGGTCCACAAGTCCGATTGTAGGATTTCCTCCAGAAGTCAACTAAAACAAGAAGCGAGGGAAAAGGTGAGATGTCAGATTTGATGAGAGGTAACACAATACAAAATACATTGGGACGGGGACAAGGAGGAATAAGCCAACTGGATGAAATGATGAACCCAATTGGTGAGCGTAAAAGGGGAGATATCCATGAATGAAGAGAATTGCCAAGAGATAGAGAGACAGGAATGGGAACCATGGAAGGAAGCCTTGCGGGCAATATAAGAAGGAAGGGTAAGCATAGGACATAGAAGTCTATCCGGATCGCGACAGGGGCAGAGATGAGAAATAGAAGGTAGGAAAATGAACAAAAAGGAGAAGTTAGCCTCACAAGCTCCTGAGATTTTGTGGAGGAAGAAATAATCCGAATAAAGGAGAAGATAGGTATGGTGGTAAAGTGTGCATGTAACGTCAATGGCAAACAAGCCTGACGGTCAATGCCCACAGGCCAGAAAGAGAACAAAATATGCCTTAACCCGATACTTGCTGTGGCAATTTTGTCTTATTGTGAGGGCAAAATCATTTGTGAATTGAAAAAATGATAGAGAACTTATCTTTTATTGGATTTCAGATTTTATTTTTGTAAATAGTAGCATAACATTCAATTATTTGTACAAAATTGTATAGTTTAATGAAGATTAAATAGGAATTTAATGAAAAAATTCCTAAAATACGTTTTAGACTGTAAATAAGTGCCCTCTAAGAAATTATTTTTTCAAAAATTTTTT